GCAGGAAGTAAAATGTAACAGATGTGAAACTTGTGGAAAAACATTTGCGTACAAGAAGTCACTGCTTCTCCACATAAACTCTCACACAGGAGATAATGTATTTTTGTGTGATGTGTGTGGCAAAGCCCTAACAAACAAGGAACACCTCAAGTTACATCGTCGGATACATACTGGCGAGAAACCACATGTGTGCACTGTTTGTGGTAAAGCTTTTAATTCTAGGGATTACTTGAAAGTTCATCAGCGTACACACACTGGTGAACGGCCATATGTCTGTGAAATGTGTGGCAAGTGTTTCACACAGCGTTCCAGTCTTGTGGTGCACAAACGTTGTCATACAGGTCAAAGGCCCTGTGAATGTCATGTGTGTAATAAAGGCTTTGTGTCAAAAACTATGCTCAGAGCACATCAAAAGACACACAGAATTTAGCGAAGGATCCTTTTCAGGAAAGGTTATTAGAATGGACTTATTCTTAATTTCTTACAAAATAATATTTAAGTTTTTATATTTTGTTTTGTCATTATGGATTTCACTTGTTTGTTTAGACCACTTGTTACCACTACACTTACTTTCTCACAGACTGCTTGATAATTACTGAAAGTCATGGCATTCTTTTTGATATTTTTGCATGTTTAACAATTGTAATGCATTGTGCTATACATCATTAAGATGATAATAAAGAAATTTCCATACATAATTTTATTCCACAAATATTTTGGTACTCATTTATTCCACAATCTTAGGTTTTTTTTACATTATTCACATAATTTTATTTATTTCGTATTTAATCGCAGTTCCTTGCATGTCATGAATGAAGCTCACAGACCACTTGTGGTCTGTGGACTACACTATGGGGACCTCTAGTTTGGATAAGTGTTTCTCACAAATTTTATTGGGGTTGTGGGTATTAATTTTTATTATGTTTGTTAGCAGTAGTGTGAAATAGGACATGGAGCTGAAACATAATCCAATAAATGCTGGTAGTTGTTCAGCTGGTCATTTTATTTGATTTCCCAACCAATATTTTATGTACTTTTTTAAATTTCATTGCTTCATTCACAAGGACATGGAGTCTTTACCGAGTCATTAGAGTCCAGTCCTTTCTTCAGTTTTGGTTTTTGTGTTATTTTTGCTTCTGTGCATAGGTCTCTAAAGTGGTTACTTCTGTTTAGATTTATAGCATAAATTTTGTGCACATTTCTCATCTCTGTATGTGCTACATTGCCTACCCATCTCACTCTAGTTGATTTGTTCACCTTAATAACTTTGAGAGAGTGACACTTTCTATAAAGTTTTTATGCAGTTTTTTTGTCTCCTGTTTCTTCTCTCTCTGGTCTTTATATTCTCCGCAGGACTTCCTTCTGAAGCATTGTAGCACTGTCTAAGCTCTTCTCCTTGGAACAAGAGACAGTTTTAGCAACTGTATCAAATAACAAGCAAAATTTGTGGTTTCTGACTGAATGGTTGGGGATTAATTATTATCTTTTTCAATTAGAGTTTGTCAAGGCATTGTCTTGTGCTCATGGTTAGATATTTACCACTGTGTAACAGTGTAGTTGTATAATTGCCTTTATAAAGTCTTCATTTCATTTTTGAGTAAGGAACGTTATTTTATTTATGAACTGCATGTTGGTAAATATCTTAATTTCCAAATTATGTCATAATATGTTATTCAGTTGTCAAATTTTAACCTTCTAGTTTGGTGCTTTATGTGGTGCCTCAATTACACTAACACAGTGGTATTCAACCTGGGGTACACGAAGACATCTTAGGGGGTACGTGAAATTTAAAAAATATATATATTAATTTATGATAAACTGAATAATCAGTAATGTAATTTATTTAATTTATTTTAGATGTAGATTATATACTATGTATAACTTGAATTATACATCAACAATTTTCGGGGTACAAAGTTGAAGTGAAATTATATCTGGGGGTACGTGAACAAAAAGGTTGAATACCACTGCACTAACATATTTCAAGTAATTGGTCAACCGGTGTGTTTAGCATTTTCAGTATTAGTAACCAGTAAAGGTTTCTATGCAGTAAGCCAGGTATCTCACTCAGTATACTTACCCTGGTCCAATGTTTGTGAAGATACCATTGTCATGTGTACTAACTAACTAACTAACTAGATGGCTTACCGAACCCGAAGGTTCATCACCGAATTAACCAAAGCCCTCCACCGGACCCTGTCCTGGGCCAACGAAATCCAGTCTCATTCAACTCCTATCTCCCATAGATCTTGCCTGAGATTATCCTCCCATCTACGTCTAGGTCTCCCCAGCTGTCTCTTCCCTTAGGCTTCCCAACCAATTAGTAATGTGTAGTGGCATGTGGAATTGCCAAGTTGTGTACTTGAATACATTTTTTTAAAAAAAATTCTGAAAATTTATCTTGAAATCACTCTGTTTATCAAATTTTTGTCTTGACCAGAACTATGTACAAGAGATGGCAAATATGTTTGGCGACATTGGTTTGGAAATTGTGTATCATTGGGTTTCTGTATGTGGTTATTTGTGTGTCATGAGGGATGCACCTTTTAGCATTTTTTAAATTCATAATTAGGTGTCAGTTTCCAAGAAGAGGATGTGTGATATATTTTCTTGCCTACCTCAATACTTTCTTTTTCCTTAGGTTCACATTATTTACCCCACTTCCATAAATGAGACTTGCAACTGGCCATTGAAGTTTAGGTTCAGTTAATTTTTATTTGTTTGCTGTATTGGCTGTGATATATAGTGAACTAACCAACCCTATTTGGAATCAGTGCAGTGTGAAGTGTTCCCACTGATAGAAAAGTCACATGTTTTGTTTTTGACTCACCTTTGAGGTAGTATTGCAAACATTTGGATCAGGCATCAGAGCTCTCTCATGAAGCATGTTACATAATGTGAGTAGGTTTTGAATATGGAAATAAGCAGCGTGCCATTAATTTTTTTGAACAACGAAGTAAAGCAAATGTTGGTTTTGTTGTTCTATGACTGAATTGACTATTTCATCACATTTTGTTCAGTTTTGATATATGGAAGTGTTTTAAGAGAAATTTGCTGATGAAGTACAGCCATTGCAGTTGTGGTTTACTGCTGCATCATCTGCATTCTTATTCAACATGTATGCATGTATGTATGGTTTTAACTCTGTAATGTTAAATATGAATGTTTGAATATTCTGTATTGTTAACTCTTTTAAATGCTTGCTTAAAGATCAGTGTGATAATGCTACATACCAGGCAGAAATTTTCAAAGAAAGGGTTTGTGCAACACTAATATGAAGTACTTCAACAGAAATATATTTGTATGTTGTGACGTTTATGTAGCATCCTTATTTATTTTTTCTACGTAGCAGACTCTAGAAATATATTTGTATGTTGTGACGTTTTTGTAGCATCCTTATTTATTTTTTGTACCTAGCAGGCTCACTGTTTGTGTTAAAGGTGCCATGCTGTAGTTACTCTAACCTTTCATGTGGTTTGCACACAACAGTTTGTTTAATAAATTGCGATAGCTAACTCCTGGCTCCAAAATCTTACAGCTCTCAAAATTGGGGAAAATTTCTTTGCTGTTTCATTGTTTCAAAACATCTTTCTCAAAATTGTTAGTTCGGTGAAAGCTTATTTATCCATCTTGTTTTGAAACTTTCATTTTATTTATTATGCCACATAGGTGGTAGATGTCATATTCCAACTTTAATAAAATTTATGTGGCATTGTTGATATTTCTATTTAGTATGTCCATTATCTCACAAGAATCATAAATGATTTAAGAGAGAACCCTTCTCTTCTTTCTAGGTATTCGAGCGAAAGATATATTAACCGTCTTAGGATATCAGAGAGCAACTCTACTCACCACAAGAAAACTGGTAATGTGAAAGCTAAAATTACAAAGAAGTCATCCAGGAAACCATTAAAGAAAAGGAAGGCCACAGAAGGTATTTACGTGTGTCACCAAATGGATGTGGATCAAGATTCGAACAAGCCTTTCATTTGCAGCATCTGCTGTAAACCACTGCTTAGTCAGAGTGAGCTGGACTTGCACTCTAAAGACCATGAACACACTAAAATTGCAGATGATTTCAAGTGTAACATTTGTGGTAAAGTATTTGTTACAAAGAAAGTTTTGAAACGCCATCTCGTAGTTCACAGTATGGATCGACCATACTCTTGTGATCTTTGCCACAAGACTTTTAAACGCCCATATGACATCACCATTCATAAAAAGAAACATACCGGAGAGAATAAGCATTCGTGTGATATATGTGGGTATGCAACTATTTATAGATCAGCTTTAGCCACTCATCGGAAAAGACATTTTGAAGAATACAAGTACAGATGTGAGATATGTGGGAAGGGTTTCTTTGTTAACACGTGGTTGCAAGAGCATAGAAATTTCCACACAGGTGAGAAACCATTTCAGTGTGACATTTGTGGTAAGGCATTTCCTTACACACGCTATATGGTTGCCCACAAGAAGGCCAATCATCCAGATGCTCAGCATCCTGTGAAGATAAACCAATGTGAGACATGTGGTAAAGTGTTTGCACACAAGAAGTCGTTGTCTCTGCACATCAAGTCTCACACTGGTGAAAATGTGTGTTTGTGTGACATCTGTGGTAAAGCCCTAACAAATAAGGAACATCTCAAATTTCATCGTCGTATCCACACGGGTGAAAAGCCAAATGTATGTGATGTGTGTGGCAAGGCCTTTAGTAAGCGTTGCAACTTGAAACTCCATCAGCGCACACACACAGGAGAACGACCATATACTTGTGAAACATGTGGAAAGTCATTCACACAGCGCTCAACTCTTGTTATACATAAACGTTACCACACAGGTCAGAGACCATATGAATG